GCTGAGGCTGCGTGGTGAGCCGCCTGCAGACTTGCAGTCCAGACCTCTGTGTGGAGATTTTCCCAACGTTGCCCCTGGGAGCAGGAGCAGCAGGGATGGGGAGCCAGCATGTCCATGGTTATGGGGGTTGAGCCTGTGCTGCCCTCTCCTAGACCGGAGAAACAGCGCATGTGCCCACGCCTGGCACATCCCCAGGGCGGGTGTCCTGACACACTGAGGACTCCCTGCAGCAGGGGCTCCCTGGGCTGTCCCAGCGTCTCTAAGCCAGAGGTTCTCAACCTGTGGGTCGTGGCCCCTTTGTGAGTCGAACAACCCTTTCACAGGGGTCGCCTAAGACCATTGGAAAACACACATTTCCAATAGCGAGCCATAACAGTAGCAAAATTATAGTTATGAAGTAGCAATGAAAATAATTTTACAGTTGGGAGTCACCACAACATGAGGAACTGTCATCAGGGTCGTGTTAAAGGGTTGTGGCATCAGGAAGGTTGAGAACCACTGACACGAAAGGCCGCAGTGTGTGTCTGTCTTCTGGTCCCATGGGGGGGGGGTTGGCAGGCAGGCAGCGGCCATCTGCAGGACACAAGTGTGCGAGGTGGGTGTCTGCATGTCTTCCGAGAGATGCCAGCACCTGAGGGAGTCGAGCTGAGGGGACGGAGTCTGGATGGGAAGTGCCCTGAAACTAGATGGAGGCCCGGGTCCTGCTGCTGGGGTGTCAGTGCCCTTGTGGTGGCGAGGGCTGCTCCCCAGTGAGGGCTTCCTCCGGAGGTGCTGCACTCGGCTGCCACTGAGGGTCAGGCCCTGGAGGGAGGACTGAGCTGCCCTCTGAGCCCATCGCCCACTCCAGAAACTTCCAGTGGTCTGTGAAATAATTAACCTGCACTTTAAATGCTAAACATCAGGCGCTTAGATCTTGGAGACATGGAGGAGCTGCCCTCATCAGAGTGCTGGTGGGGACTCAGCCTGAGGGGGTTCTGGGAGGCAGGCAGGTGTAATGCCATGGGGGGAGGGGACACAGGGCAGAAGTACACGACACCTGGGCCAGGAGAAGCTGACCGCCGCCAGTCAGAGAGCGTGCAGTAGGAGTGGAGGGTCGGGGTCTGGCTGGGTCACTTCAGATGCGGGGTCCTGCAGGGGCAAGGAGGGTGGATGACCTTGACGTGAGCAGAGCGAGGAGCAGGCTGCGTCGGGGGGACGGTCAGCGGAGCAGAGGTTCCTGAGGACAGTGCCTCTAGGCTCCAGTCAGGAGAGCAGGACAGAGGTGACCTGCCAGGACATGATGGGCTGGAACCATCACAGCAGGAACAAGAAAGGAACGACCCAGTGGCATTTTCAAGGAGTCTCGGCAGAACTTGGGGACAGTCTGGCAAAGAAGGCAAAGGGGTTGTCCACAGGCTGGACCATCTGTGCTGAACAGAGCCGTGGAGACTGTGGCAGGAGCTGGCTCCAGGGTGTCTCACTGACCAGGAATGATGCTGAGGCTTCTCCGGAGCAGTCCATGGTGGCTGTGCGCGGGGATGGGCGGAGGAGCCCGTGGTGGCTGTGCGCGGGGATGGGCGGAGGAGCCCGTGGTGGCTGTGCACGGGGATGGGCAGAGGAGTCCGCTGTGCGCACAGGGATGAGCGGAGGAGCCCCCGGTGCCATGTGCGCGGGAGGAGCCCGCGGTGGCGTGTGCGCGGGGATGGGTGGAGAAGCCCATTGTGCCGTGTGCGTGATGGGCGGAATAGCCCGCTGTGCCGTGTGCACGGGGATGGGCGGAGGAGCCCGCGGTGGCGTGTGCGCGGGGATGGGCGGAGGAGTCCGCGGTGCCGTGTGCGTGATGGGCGGAGGAGTCCATTGTGCCGTGTGCGCGGGGATGGGCGGAGGAGTCCATTGTGCCGTGTGCGCGGGGATGGGTGGAGGAGTCCATTGTGCCGTGTGCACGGGGATGGGCGGAGGAGCCCGCGGTGGCGTGTGCACGGGGATGGGTGGAGGAGTCCATTGTGCCGTGTGCGCGGGGATGGGCGGAGGAGTCCGCTGTGCCGTGTGCGTGATGGGCGGAGGAGTCCGCTGTGCCGTGTGCGTGATGGGCGGAGGAGTCCGCTGTGCCGTGTGCACGCGGATGGGCGGAGGAGCCCGCGGTGCTGTGTGCGCGGGGATGGGTGGAGGAGTCCATTGTGCCGTGTGCACGGGGATGGGCGGAGGAGCCCGCGGTGGCGTGTGCGCGGGGATGGGCGGAGGAGTCCGTGGTGCCGTGTGCGCGGGGATGGGTGGAGGAGCCCGCGGTGGCGTGTGCACGGGGATGGGTGGAGGAGTCCATTGTGCCGTGTGCACGGGGATGGGCGGAGGAGCCCGCGGTGGCGTGTGCACGGGGATGGGTGGAGGAGTCCATTGTGCCGTGTGCGCGGGGATGGGCGGAGGAGTCCGCTGTGCCGTGTGCGTGATGGGCGGAGGAGTCCGCTGTGCCGTGTGCACGCGGATGGGCGGAGGAGCCCGCGGTGCTGTGTGCGCGGGGATGGTCCGCTGTGCCGTGTGCACGGGGATGGGCGGAGGAGCCCGTGGTGCCGTGTGCACGGGGATGGGCGGAGGAGCCCGCTGTGCCGTGTGCACGGGGATGGCAGAGGAGCCCGTGGTGCCGTGTGCACGGGGATGGGCGGAGGACCCGTGGTGCCGTGTGCACGGGGATGGGCGGAGGAGCCCGCTGTGCACGGGGATGGCAGAGGAGCCCGTGGTGCCGTGTGCACGGGGATGGGCGGAGGACCCGTGGTGCCGTGTGCACGGGGATGGGCGGAGGACCCGTGGTGCCGTGTGCACGGGGATGGGCGGAGGACCCGTGGTGCCGTGTGCGCGGGGATGGGCGGAGGAGTCCGCTGTGCACGGGGATGGGCGGAGGACCCGTGGTGCCGTGTGCGCGGGGATGGGCGGAGGACCCGTGGTGCCGTGTGCACGGGGATGGGCGGAGGACCCGTGGTGCCGTGTGCGCGGGGATGGGCGGAGGACCCGTGGTGCCGTGTGCGCGGGGATGGGCGGAGGAGTCCGCTGTGCACGGGGATGGGCGGAGGACCCGTGGTGCCGTGTGCGCGGGGACGGGCGGAGGACCCGAGGTGCCGTGTGCGCGGGGACGGGGACGGGCCGGCTACCACTGCTGAGGTTGCACAGCGGCTGGCGACCAGGGGCCAGAGCAGACCTCCGGGAGGAGCAGATGCAAGGCCAAGACCAAGAGTCACGAGGAGGGGCCATCTGAACCCACAAGGACTTTCGGGGTACACAGGACATAGCAGGTCTGAGGCCAGAGAGCACCCCGGCAGTGGGCTGGTTTCCGGACCAGTGAGCCTGGGAGGATAGGCTGAGGGAGGTGGGAGGCTCTTCTTGCGGGTTGTGACCCCAGCTGCGTGTGTTCTCATCATTCCGTGGGCTCTCCGTCGTCCGTCCTTGTCTTTAAAGTGGTCCCGTCGGAGCCGGAAAGCGCAGGAGAGAGGGGCAGCACCTGGACCCTGCAGGGGGCTGGGCACCCCCCCCCCCACTCCTGACGTGTTTGTTTCTGATTTCTCAGGCAGCTCCTGCTTAGCATTGTAGCTGATCTTTGAAGGAACAATGAGGCGCTTCCCTGTACTTCTTGGCAGGAGAGTGGGGCCTCGGGCAGAGTTTAAGGAGAGTGAGTGGGAGCAGGCTCTCTGGAGGGGGTCCTTTCCCTCGGCTGCCTTCTCCCACCCAAGGGGGTCCTCTCTGTGTCACCTGTCTGCAAGGGACTTTCCCACGGAGCAGCGGTTCTCAGCCTGTGGGTCACGACCCCTTTGGGGGTCGAACGACCCTTTCACGGGGGTCGCCTAAGACCATTGGAAAACACATTTCCGGTGGTGATTCATGACAGTATAAAATTGCAGTTATGAAGCAGCAACGAAAATTTTATGGTGGGGGGCCACCACCACATGAGGAGCTGTATCAAGGGGTGAGGCTGAGAACTCCTGCCATGGGGGGTATTTGAGGAGTGGTTGTCTGAAGAGCTCTCCACTCTGGGTGGGGTCACCCTGTTGAGACGACCCTGAAATCCTGCCGTATTTTGAGATTGCTAAGCGTGTAATACACGTTTCTAAGGGACACGAGGTCTCCAGATGAATCAAATTGTTAAGAAAAAAGTGACGTGTTTTTCAAAATCACGTTCAATATTGAGTTTAAAAGCTTTGGAAATTCTGGATTCTTCCTGTCAGCCAGCTCCCTGCCAGTTATTTTTATAGTGAATGTTTCTTAAGGACTTTGATATGTTTTTTAAACAGTTGCTGTCAAAAAAATTTTTTTTTAATGCTCGTCTCTTCCTTTCTGCTTTTGATTCATTCTGCTCCCTTGGGAACCAAGTACTAAAATCTGTTTCCATAACAATTTTTTCCTTTGCAAGAATATCTGCTTGTTATTGTTGGGTTGTTGGGGTTGAATTTTTCCTAAGAGCACCGCCCTGCGTCTTAGAAACGCAGAGCCTGCCAGGGAGTCACCCGAAAACAGAAACAAGGAGTCACAGTGCCAGGAGCACACTCACGTGTGGGTGAGCAGTGGCCCTGGGCACGTGCAAGACACGGAGACCTGGTGGGGGTCCCGCGTAGGGAGGACACGGGACCTGGTGGGGGTCCCGCGTGGGGAGCGGTGGCCCTGGGCACGTGCAGGACACGGGACCCGGTGGCCCTGGGCATGTGCAGGACACGGGACCTGGTGGGGGTCCTGCGTGGGGAGGACACGGAGACCTGGTGGGGGTCCCGCGTGGGGAGCGGTGGTCCTGGGCACGTGCAGGACACGGGACCCGGTGGGGGTCCCACGCGATGGCCCTGGGCACGTGGAGGACACGGGACCTGGTGGGGGTCCCGCGTGGGGAGCGGTGGCCCTGGGCACGTGCAGGACACGGAGACCTGGTGGGGGTCCCGCGTGGGGAGCGGTGGCCCTGGGCACGGGTCTGAGGGTGTCACGCTGTCCACTCTCTCGGGCTGCGCGGTGTGCTGAGCGGTCCTGACGCCTTTCCGTGTGGTCTCTTCCAGTGTCCTGGGACCGGCCGTGACCTTCAGAGTGGGAGCCAACGACCAGAACGTGACGACTGTGGATGTGGCGAAGGCAGCAGGTAGAGTTCTTCCCGCAACGACACGCGCACCCCGGCGGGGGCGGGAAGGACGGCCCGTCTCTGGCACCCCGACACTTGTGGGGAGAGGGAGGTGCAGCGGGTCAGGTGGCGGGGCTCCGTGGACGCGGCGCGGCTGGCGTGGGCGTGACCGCCTTCCTGCGCCGCAGCCCAGACCTGCCCGGGAGGCTCAGCAGAACCAGTGACCTGGTCAGTTCTGTGGTTGGGCCCAGCTCGAGCCGGTCCCCTCCCACAGCTGGGGAGACCCGGTCCGTCCGTGAGTGAAAAGCCGGGGGCACAGGGGAGGGTGCTGGGGGCGCTTGGAGCTGCCCTCCCCGTCTCGCTCGGCTCCGGAACGCTGACCGGTGCGGTCCTTCCGCCTCGGCGGACAGCGCAGGCGCACAGCGTCCGGGGCCCTGGTCCTGCGGCCCGGCCCGGCCCGGCCCGGCCCGGCCCATCTGCTGCGGGGCTGAGGCCTGGGCCCGGCCCCCGCGGACGGGACGCGTCTCCGCCGCGCCCCTGCTGCTGAGCGCTCGGACACTTTACTGAGACGTATGTGTGTTCCAAAGTGGGGGGCTGTGAGGGGGGCTCGTCCCGTCAGTGGGGTGAACTGCGCGCCGGTGTGTGGGGCTGGGGCTGGATTCTGCTGGTGGGCAATCGCGGTGCCCTCGGCGACTCATTTGCTGCAAGTGTGGATTTGGGGGGCCAAGCATTTAGGTTAAACAAGGATTTGTGGCCAAGTTGACTTCACTCAGAAAACCTGGCTTATTGGAGGGACTGTCCCCCCTTCTTCTCAAGGTCATAACCCGCAGCTCGGGGTGCAGCTGGGAAAGCCGCCAAGCGGCGACCCCGCCCTGAGTGCCCTCGGGGGCCCTGGCGGGCACAGGTCGCCTGTTTCTGGGACTGTTCGGGGCCCCGCCCTGGTGGCCGCAGGCTGTCTCCTTCCCCGCCCGCGGCCAGTGTCCCTCTGGGCCCTGGTGTGAGTGGTCGGCCTCCGAGCACATCCGCGGCCCACGCAGGCATCGGTGTAGCGGAAACGCACTGACGGTGGCTCCACGTTGGCCGTTTGTCCCAGTGCCGGGCACAGGGCTCTCGGAGTCAGGTTTGCATAGGACGCTGTGGATGGACGAACACAGAAGGAAGTGTCGTCCTTTTCAATCCCCACCCAAGGACATGTCCGTTGATCTAGAGGATGGAAGGGGGGGGGGGGAGACTGGCTGCCTCCCGCATGTGCCCCAGACCGGGGATGGAATCCGAGACCCTTCGGTGTCCAGGGCGATGCTCCAACCACGGAGCCACACTGACCAGGGAGAAGTCCCTCCCTTTTTAAATCATGACAGTGTATCACTGACGATGGCCCGTCATTGTTTTGCTTTCTGGGGAAAGTGAGGTCAGTTGTTCGAAACCTGTTCCTCTGGTTGTCGCTGGTCCCTGCTGTGTACCGAGAGCCCTTCCAGGGTGACATGGATACAAAATGAGTCACCGCAGCGACTTCCAGCTACGGAACTAGCTTATCACACCAACACATTCACCGTACGCTTGAACACTGGTGACGTACACACACAGTGAAAAAACGCATTCCTTTTATATCTGGAATAATTTAAAGATGTTATGAAGTACGTCATGCTGTCTAAGGAAATGACAGTGCAAAATAAGTGTGTGATGGAGAGATCTTATTTGGGAGCAGTAGAAATACCGGGACCACGCCTGCCTGCTGAGAGTGTCCGGGGCCACAGAAAGAAGTGACCTTGCTCAGGGCAGTGTCCACGTGACGTTGACGTCCTCACAAGTCAACAAGGGAGAATTTTGTTTTTTGTTTTTTTTTAATCCTCACTCGAGGACATTTTTCCATTTTTTGTTCAGGTAGAGTGGGAGGGAGAGAGAGGAACAGAGAGAGAGAGGAACATCGATGTGAAAGGGACACATCGAGTGGCTGCCACCCGCACGACCAACCAGGGCCGGGGACAAACTGCAACCGAGGTACATGCCCTTAGCGGGAACCGAACCCGGGTCTCTCAGGACCGCAGGCCGACGCTCTGACCGCTGAGCCAAACCGGCCAGGGCCAACGGAGAATTTTGAACTCACAGGAAGTTCTCTGTGGTTTCGCACTTTCGGAGATGACGTTCCATCTCAGCAGTGCTACCGAAGCCTGCCTGGGGGCCTTGTGGGCCGACCCACGTGGGTGGGCTGTGCGGGGGCCACGGTGTCCCCAGCGCACAGACGGACAGAGCCTCCCGCCGAAATGCAACCAGTGTCTCGTGTCCTGCAAACCCAGCGGCTGTGCGCACTCGGTTTCCTCGTCGGCTTAACGACGCTGCGTTGTGGGTGTCTCGTGCGATTACCAACGGAGGGAGACACGACCCCGCGGATGGAATTAATAGGGGCATTTAGTTTGCTAATTTTATACAAAATGATACAAAACTTCATGAATAGGCACACAGCTGTTAATCCCATCGAACGTCACGGTGCAGATGCTGAGCGATGGGGGGTGGCTGTCCCCATGGCTCAGGGTCTCTGTTCTCGAGGGGGTTCTTTTCTGCAAACCCGCCTCCTTGCGGACTTGGACGCGACCGTGAAGTGTTGGTGGACGTGGCAGTGAGGGTGCTGCTGTGAGGTGCTCACTGGCTTGTCCACACGTAGAAAACTGGCAGGTCCTTTTTTTCCTTTATTGATTTTAGAGAGAGGACGGGAGAGGGAGAGAGAAAGAAACATGGATGAGAGAGAACATCGTTTGGCTGGCTCCTGCACGCCCCCCACTGGGGATCAGGCCCACAGCCTGGGCATGTGCCCTGACCGGGAACCAAACCAGCCACCTCTTGGTGCAGGGTCAACGCTCAACCTGTGAGCCACACCAGCCGGGCAGCTACTTTTAATCTTTATGGCCAGGTCATCAAGTCATACTGGGCAGAACAGAAAAGTCCTCTCTTTACTTTGTTCCCCGGGTCGATTATTCTGGAACAGCAAGTATATTTCCAGTTCCTCTGCTTCAGGGGGTGTGGTTAATCGCCCTGCACAGTGTGCTCCCCTTGCCGCAGGCCGGCCCGCGTTCCCAGGAGCTGCCCCGAGGGCTGGGCACAGCAGGACGTGGCCCTTCTTTTCCTCAGGGAGCAGGAGCCAGAGGGTCTGACCAGAGGGTAATGGAGAGTCCCGTCGGCACCTGCAGCACCCTCTGCGCTGCATGGACAGCCCACGGGGGCCCCGTGTGGACTTGGGGGGCACTGGAGAAATGCGGGCGGGTGTAGGTGTCAGGGTCTAACCCTGGGGCAGACCAGACCCCTCCCGTCTTGCAGATGCTGGGTGGGAGATGGCACAGGGGCTCCTCAGGGCCGGGCAGGTTAGCAAGGAGGAGGTAGTTGGGGCCCCAGAACAGGCTTCGAAGAGGCTTGATGGGGGGTGATGCAAGGTGGGTGCCGCCTCCCACCACTGCTGGGCACAGTCCGGAATGACTGCTGCAGTCTTGACAAGTGTTGCAGGGGTGGAGCTGGGGGCTGTCAGCAGAGGGGTCTGCGCTGCTCACCCAGCTGGAGGTGGCCCCCGCGCCTCGGCCTGTAACCAGAGCCCGGGCTTCGCCTGCCCATCCTGCACCCCTGCTTCGAAGTGACTCGTGCGTCACCATTTGCAGGGTCACCTATGTGGGAACACGTGATGGGCCTCGGGGCGAGGTGCGGACGGCGGGCGGTCTCCAGGGTGCCTGTGCCGCGTCCATTTCCGTACGAAGGGGCCTGTGGGTCACAGTCATTCACGGAGGAAACAGTCTCAGGACCCCGTGAGCAGGTGTCGGGTCCTGTCGGGTCCTGTCGGCTCCAGCAGCACACTTCTCCCTCTGATGTCTGCGGCCTCGTCACATAAGCAGGTCCACCGGGCTCTGGTGTGATCCAGAGAGGTGCAGGGGTGCCCGGGCCCAGGACCTACACGGCCTCAGCGCCCACTGAGATGCAGGCAGCGGTCAGCACGCACACAGAGGATGCCAGGAACTGGGGCCAGCGCCCTCCTCGGCCAGGACTCGGGGTGTGGGTGGATAGCCACAGAAACACGCTGACTTTGTGCTAAAACTGTTAGCGCCCCTGCGCGGGGAGAAGTGAGCGAGGCTGTAAGTGCAGTGCGGTGCGCTCAGCACCCCTTCAGGGCGGTGCTGCAGGTCCTGCTCGGGGGCAGCGCCCTGGGGGCAGCTGTGAAATGCAGATGGGTCAGTGGAACAAAAGGGGCTTTGCCAGCTGATGTCCAGCCTGCTCGAGGCCCCTCCCCCTCCACCTCCCCCTCCATGCAGCCCGTCTGTCAGCTGACCTGTGCCCCACTGGGGGCTCCCTGTAGTGGCCCCTTGGCGATGAAGGTTCCAGACCCATCTGGAGGTTTGCTCTGGGGGCCAGGACAGCTGAGGTGGGATGGACGCGGAGAGGGAGCGGGCGGGGTGTGGGGTCAGGGCCCCGGGCGGGGCGGGAACGGGGTGCTCCCGGCCCCACACCCTTCGTCTGTGGCTCTGCAGCCGGGAAAACATGGTCTCAAAGGGGCAGCCACTGGGCCATCGGCCACCCGGGCTCCTGTGCAGGTTCTGTCCACGGAGATGGGGCTCCCCTAGGGTCCCCGAGTGGGCAGAGACGTGGGGATGCCCACCTCGTGAGGACAGAGACTCAGCTCTTTCCCAAGACTCTGTTTCTGGTGGCTGGTGGCCGAACCCACTTCATGTCACTTCATTATTTTAAGCACCTCCAGGTCACCCACAAACCCAGTAGCCACTGCTCTTAGAGGGACGCAGCTAAGGGGGCCCCTCTTCCTGCACCTTCTCATCTGATTCCCACGCTCGGGGTCTCTCCTGAGAGCCAGCAGCGAGCGAGAGCAGCCCGAGGTGGCCGCTGCGGTGAGAGCTGAGCAGGGGCGAGGTGCGAGGGGCGTCAGCACCTGCCCGGCTAAGGGCCTGTAGGAGGAGGCGTCCCCGCTGGCTGCTTCCGGGACAGTCTGCGAACCGCCCTGGCGTGGGCGCCGGGACCGTTCCTGGGCAGGGGAC